AGCATAATAGTCTCGACAGAATATGAGAACATTTCAGAAGTCTGAAAATATCACTCTTGAATTAGCCAACTTCTATTTGAGAAATTTAGTTAAATAATATATTGGTAGCCATAGATCCTAAGTCTAATCCCCCCCCACCAATATTAAGTTTCTAATAGAAAAGTGGTTACTGTCCTTACAAAAATCAAGTGAGAATAACCTGGTGATCAAATAGTTCAACCATCCCTACCATATAGAGCAAATATTAAAACAACAACAAAAGCAGACAACAAATTGCTTTAAGCAACTGGCATCTGTGAGTTAAGTTTAAAAGACCTTTAAACCTCAAGATAAACAATACTGCAGACGTAAAGCAAAGATTAGTTAAAATTAAAATGTGAAATGTCATACAATATGGCTATGTTACAATGGTATAATTTCTGATACTCTAAAATTTTTAATAGAATTCAAAAATATCCAGTGTTGGCTCCCTATATTAAATTATACATATAAATACACTCTGAGGAAAATGTAATTGCTCCCAAACTCTTGGATCCTGCCATCCATAATGAATAATATACTGTGGCACACTCTTATAAAGGTAAATGTTTCTTTTGACGAGGAACATTTATCAACTAAAAACACTTGAGCTTTTGCTTTCTTTCCCCCACTTTGTCTTCATTTAAATTTTTTTTCTTGGCTTTTTATGGTTACTCCAGTTGCTGTTGTTAACTTTGTAGTGTTGAATGATAGATGGTCTGACCACTGAAAGGAATTACTTTAATTTTATTTTGACATTGACTCCATGATAGTGCTACAAGCCTGTGTGAGTATTAAAAGATTTCCTCAAAAAGAAGATTTACAGCTATGATAGCCAAGTCACAGTCATCTTTTCTTCTTTCCCTCAACTCTCAAAGACTCACTGCTTTTTAAAAATATCTGTCTGTCTATATATCTATTGAGGGAGGAACAATGATCCCTATAATGCAATGTCATAGTAGCCATGTGCTTCACATGAAATAAATACAGATAAAGGAGTAGGATAGGTGACAACAAATAAGGAGACAAAACAACATTTTTTTTCCCTTCTTAAAGAAAGGGATCTCCATTTTGAAATGTTAACCAAAAAAATGTGTGTGGAGGTAATTAAAGCTCACTGTTGATAAATAGATTATAAAAGAGTATTTACGAACTCCAAACTGAGCTAGGAAAGATTATATCCTGTGGCACCAGTAATATTAATAGATGTGTATATATGTGTTGGTTGCTCAGTCATGTGTAACTCTATGAGATCCCATGGACTATAGCAGGCCAGGCTCCTTTCTTCATGGAATTCTCCAGTCAAGAATGCTGGAATGTATAGCCATTCCCCTCCTCTAAGGGATCTTCCCAACCCAGGGATTGAACCCAGGTCTCCAGTATTGCAGGCGGACTCTTTACTGTCTGAGCCACAGGGAAGCCCCATAATAAGACATAGTCAAACAATTTAATATATTATCTTGTGCTCTAGCCATGTAAACACAACAGTCAGAAATCCTGCTGCAAGGAGCATGACTGACTGATGACTCCAATTACTGCTCCTCTAGATTCCCAACTATGTTCATACTAAGGCCACTCAAGGTCCAGCGGTGAAAAGGACATCATACTAAGTAGAATACAGATAGTTCCTGGCACAAGCAGACAGCTCAGTAGGTGCTCAATTGTACCATTCACTGGTGATGACCTAGGAAAATATCCTAGTGGAGGGTCAATGCTTTTTGCAGGCTTTGCAGGTGAGATGTTTCAGGCATTTGAAAGCCATGTGAGAGGAGGCACTGGGCAATGCAGTGGGCAATGCCTATAATAATAACCAAACTTGGCTGGCTATTACCGTGTTGTATTGTTTCTCTGTAGAGAGATGAGAAACAGAAAGCCATTAATAAGCAGTTTGTGTCTAAAACAAGAGCCTCTTTGGTAGCTTACAAAGAAAATGTTACCTCCTCTGGCAGAAGAGGCCTTCCCTGGTAGCTCAGATGGTAAAGAATTTGCCTGCAATGCAGGAGACCTGGGTTTGAGCCCTGGGTCGGGAAGATCCTCTGGAGAAGGGAATGTCAACCTACTGCAGTATGTGTGCCTGCAGAATTCCATGGACAGAGGAGCCTGGCAGGCTACAGTTCATGGGGTATCAAAGAATTGGAAACAACTGAGTGACCTACATGTTTACTTTCACTGGTAGAAGAGCAGACATTTCTGAATAGCAAACTGAAGATTTGATCAAGTGACAAAGCAAAGATATTTGAACCCTCAGTCTAGGTGGATCTGCAATGCCAAGGGTAGGGTCCTCATTGAGAAAGCCTAGAACCCTGAAACAAGGGATGGGAATATTTGGGTGGTTGTCCCTAAGGCGGTTGGCTCTGTAGAACCCACAGGGCTTACAGATGGGGCCTGCCCTTTTCTAGACGAGCTAGTATTTCTCCTCCACTGGAAGAGGCTGCAGGGCTCTCTGCAAAGCAGCAGTTTCTTCTACATGTGCCACCTCCATCTGCTCTCCAGATAGCTAGGAAAGTAATTGGGCTAAAGCCCAGCATCAGCCTGCTGAGGTATTAAGCCTGGGAAGGGAAGGAAAAAGCCATATGCCAAAGGAGAGGGTAATAATTAGGTACTATACACTGGAAGTATCCAGGTGAGTACCATTGGGATTGGATTTTAAGGGACCTTGCTCAACAAATCCTGAATGTAAGATGGGATAAGCAACAATTGATTTGAGATAATTTCTGAGTATTGCATGGGCAGCGATCACAGGAGATTAAACAAAGTCATTGTTAAGGAGTTATCTGAAACCTGGATAAAGAAAGGCCAAAGTGGAGATGACTGAGTTGCCCTGTGATATAGAAGAAAAGAATAAAGGAACACGGGCATGCTGGTGTGAATAAACAGTGAAACCAGAAGGCACAGTAGAAGATTGTGTCCATGGGAGAATACTGAAGACACACCACTTACCAAGACCATTAGGATTCTGGGGGAAGAGAATTATATACCTTTTGAGAAACAGTTCCTGATATGTGTCTTCCCTGGTGGCTTAGTGATAAGAACATGCCTGGTGATGTAGGAGATATGAATTCGGTCCCTGGGTCAGGAAGTTCTCCTGGAGAAGGAAATGGCAACCTACTCCAGTATTCTTGCCTGGGAAAACCCATAGAAAAAGGAACCTGGGGTCCTACAGTCCATGGGGTTGCAGAAAAGCTGGACATGACTTAGTGACTAAACAACAAAGAACAATACTGATATGTAAGTTTGATGCGAGAAGAGATAAAATTGATGACCATGAGATTATCCATCATAAGTGGTGTCTGTTAGAAGCCTCCTCCCCACATCATGAAATTGGATAGTTCCAGCTGCAATTTTTCATAAGATGGTAATGTACAGCTCAAATTGAGCCTAAGAAAAACCAGAGAGCATAAGTAAACTACATAAATAGGTATACAGGCACCCATATCACCTGACACAGATGGACCAAAACCCCTGCCCCAACTTAGTTTAGAATAAGTTGGGCTAGCGCAAGGAAAAAATGGACAGTGGCTGCATTAAAGCCTCCTTCAAGTGTGGTCTTGAAAGACTGAAGATGAAAATCTCTCCGAAGGACAGAGCCACAAACAGTACACCTGGTCATTCGTTTTCCATGGAATAAGTAACTCTGTATGAGAATGCTAACAGATTTCTGGCTAGTATAATGGCCTGACTGAATGGTCAGAGACTTTCTAAGAGAGAAGACAACATGAACAGAGATAAGACGCTCTGCTGTAGAGACATGGGTGAACCGATGGGACTGGGCACTAAGTTATCAACATCTACCAGAAAGCATTGACCCCTGAAAACACACCGGGCAACCACAGATAACCATGTCATCAATACCCTAGATCACTGATGTTGGTTGGCATTTGTTGTTGGTCACATTTGAACCAACACTATTGGCACATGTAAGTGATAGCCATGTTAGCAGAGCCTGGAGCTGTGTGTGAAGTCAACAGTAAGGACTTTTCTTAACAAAATAAATCCAGTTACTGATTCCCCTGGATATTCTACCTGTTATTAACAGAGACCAATGCTGACCTTCCAATAGGGGAAAATTCCTGAAGGAAACCAACTGACAACTCGGCACAAATAGCCTACACAGTGCTTCTTCCATCCCAGAAAGGCCAATGGTTCATCTTAACAGAAACAGATAAGTACTCTATGTACATGGTTTCCTTTCCTGTCCACAAAGCCTCAGCTAATACTAACAGCTAGGATATACAGAATGCCTTGTTCACAGACATGGAATTCACAAAGCACAGCATCCAGTTAAGGGGCCCACTTTACAGAAAAGTAGATGTGGGAGTTGGCCATTATAGGATCACATCCATTGTAGGGTCCTCTGTTTAGACTACATACTACACAACCCAGTAGCAGCAAATTTCCTAGGGCTCTGTAACGGAAACCAAGGAGTCAGATCATGGATATTTCACCTCTAGAAGCTTTATTTGGATTTTTATTCTCTATCATTCTTCAACATGTTTACAATTTTCCTTACCTTCTTCAGTATAAATGACACTATTATTATAAATGATACTATTATAACTGTTTCAATGTTCTCCGATTTTACATTTCTAGAAATTTATTTTTGTTGCTCTTTTTAAACAAAAAGTATCACTTAAAAAAAAATTTTTACAGTTTCTGTTTCCCTGCCAAATTTTTTTTTGTTTACTTTGCTTTTATCTACATGTTTGTTTTTATCTACATGCTTGTTTTTACAGTCTTTGCCTGATAATTTCAATATCTCTAAATGCGTGGTTAATTTTGTGTCAGCTTGCCTGGGCTAAAGGATGTCCAGATAGCTGGTAAAACATTATTTCTGGGTGTGTCTGTGAGGGTGTTTCGGAAGAGATTAGAATTTGAATTGCTAATCAAACAAAGCAGATGGTCCTCCCCAACATGAGTGGGCATCATTCAATCTGTTGAGGGCTTGAATAGAACAGAAAGGTGGAGGAAAGACAAATCTGCTCCCTCTTTGAGCTGAGGCTTCTTTCTTCTGTTCTCAGACACTGGTGCGCCTGGTTCTTGGGCTTTCAGACTCAGACTGGGATTTATACCATCAGCCCCCTATTCTCAGACCTCAGACTTCAACTGAATTACACCTCTGGCTTTCCTGATTTTCCAACTTGCAGATGGCAGACTGTGGGACTTCTCAGCTCCATAACCACGTGAGCCAATTCCTATAACAAGTCTCCTCTTATATATGAGAGGAGAGAACCTAATGGTTCTGTTTCTCTAGAGACCGCAGATATGCTAATCTCTATATTTCTGTTGTCTATCTTATGTTTCTTTCTCACGTTATCTTATCTCCTCATATACTAATTATTTTAAAGTAGCCACTGGAAGCTATATTTGAAAATTTATTTGTAGAAATAATTTGGTTTCTAAGATGATAATGCTTTCCTCCAGGGAATAGTTCTCATTTCCTTCATGAAATATTTTCATTTGATGCTTGGTGGCACTAGCAGTCCAGAACCATCTCAATACAAATCTAAATATTAAGATTTATAAATCACTTGAAAGATGTGAATCTTGACCGCATACCATTCTAGGGCCTGCTTATCCCCAGTCCATACTTGCTCTCACTGGATAGCACTCAGGACCAGACAGAGGACATTTCTCAGAATCTGCACCACTGGTGAGTCCCAGATATTGAGTTTTGCTTCTCTATACCTTTGAGGTCCCCAGAAACACAGCGCAGTGTCTCAACTGTCTCTTATGCATAGACAAGTGACCCTAGGGCAAAAACTGCCAAGTATATTTTCTTTTTACCTCTCCAGGTCTTTTTATCTCTCTGGTCTGGTCATACTGATGTATTGTAGAAAATGTTCTAATCTTTCCCTCAAAATGTTTAGATGATTTCAGTTGCAAGTTTGGTCAGAATTATCTAAGCTAACATATCCTCCAACCCATGATTCTTTAATTCTAGGGAACCAGATCATGTCAGTAACATTTGAAAGAAAGAGGGATGTGTGGTTTAAGATGAGACAGGCATGATACCAATTTAAAATTGAAGAGCTATCACAGGAAAAAGAATCCATACTTCTTTTAAGTGGCTTCAGAAGCTAGAACATAGAAAAACATACTACATTTCAAGAAAATAATTTAAAACAAAACATGTTAATGATTAGACTGTCATACTGGGAAACTTTGCTATAAGAGCTATTGAGATGCCTAGCCTTGGATGAATCCAGGTAATTAAACAATGATTTGTCCAAGATGCATATGTAGGATATGAAATGGACTAGTTGACCTCTAGAATCCCAAAGAAGTGAGATTTCAGGACTCTTTAATTACAAGAGAAAATGGAGAGGACCTCTGAGTTATGTCGGTAGCTTAAAATTATTTTATAGGGAATAACTAATCCTACGATCAGATTTCAGGAAGGTAACTTATAAAGACTCACTTCTTGTACAATCTCTCTGATTGAAATGTGTCACAGGCAGAGTTATAGAAATGAAAGGCATTTTTTCTCTGCTCTGTGAACATTAATTTTCATGTGTATTTGTTACAGTTCACGACCTGGGATAATGCCTTGTAAATAGGGAGTAGCTATTAGCACATTAATTAGGATTCCCTTTATAGTCCTATTGAGAAATATAATTATTTGTTAGATTAAATCCTTTGCCTTGAGAATTCCAATTTTCATTTTGAGTAAGAGACCCTGTTGTAACTGCAGACTACAATTCATACAAGAACACATTTTCACATACCTTCTGTCTCTCTTACTTAAAGGCAAAATGACTGTAAAGAGTGAAAGAACCTTTGGGTTGGCAATAGTGGTATAAACAGAACCCAAGTTAACAAATTTTCTGAGAGCTATTATTTAATCTGTAAGTGCTAGAAAGAAGATCATCTTACTTCCTTTACAAGTCTATACAGGCCAGGGCTTATCCTCTACTGTTTTGGTTCTCTCAAATGCTGATAGAAGAAATCGGGGAAATGCTGTTAGCAGAAATTGGTGAAATAAAAGTTATTTCCTAAATTCAAATCTACATGATGAAATATCATGCCTTACAGTTATCTTAATGGGCATGGTCATCGGGAGATGACCTTTATTCATCTTTATTCATGCTTCTGATGACATGTGTTGACTTTATAGCACTCTATACTTTTAAGAGAATAAGCTGCTGTGAGTTTATTTCCCTTAGGCAGCTTTACCTAGCTAATCAGAGAAGAATGTTTCAGGTTGTCATTTAGCTTCCCAAGAATGCAGCTGCACTTAATAGAAGTACAAGGATTTGTGTAGTGCATTTTTCTGGATGAAGTAAATTTTTCTTGAGCGGTAAAGCATTGCTAGTTCTGTCCAGTTCTACTGATGTGCTACTCACTAGCAGAGGTGCAAAATACATCACTGCCCAGTTCTCATCTTCTTTCCTTTTTGTTGTTTTGTTTTTGTAGCAAGAGACCTCCCAGGTGCTAGGGGTATAATTTTGCCCCTGTACAACCAGAAGAATAAATTGTCTGGATGGCTGACTATAACAATAGTAGCTTACAAAATAAGTTTAGTAGATATAATGACAAATAATGGAAAGAGGTAGAAAAGGAAGATACAAGGAAAAGAATTTTAAACATCACAGACACATTAAAGCCCTTATAGCCAATGGCTCTCTAAGGAAGGGGAAAGAAAGACTACCATTTGGTATTATTTACAATTTTATTTTCTATTAGACATTATAGCAGAAGTTTAAGAACATCATCTTTTTATCTTTGGACCATTTTTTTTTTCAAGTTGAGTGATAATATCCCCACCCTATAGAGAAAGAAACTGAGACCAAGAGAGATTAAATGTTGTTGCAAAGTCACACAATCAGATGACAGGGAGGCTGTCTGAGCCCAGCTCCCGTGTACTCAAAATCTATCCATTAACTTCTGCTTCAATTCCTCCTCATATTTCATTCTACACAAGCACCAGTGAATTAAGAGACACAAGGAGAACCTAACCTTCAACAACAAATAAAAACACTTGAATCTTATTTGTCAACTGTGTGGTTGAGATTGTAATGAGACTTCTAATAGGGGATATTACTATAAGAAACAAGTTACAAGCACATGTGCCATGTAGGCGAAACTAATGGTAAGCACTAACAATGCTGTAGTTTTTTTTTCCTTTTTTAATTGGAGTGTAATTCCTTTACAATGTTGTGTTTGTGTTATTTTTTGCTGCAAATTGGGTCACTTTTAGAGATGTGGATTTGTAGAGTCTGTCATGCAGTGTGAAGTATAAGTCAGAAAGAGAAAACAAAATATTGAAGATATAATGACAAATAATGGAAAGAGGTAGAAAAGGAAGATACAAGGAAAAGAATTTTAAACATCACAGACACATTAAAGCCCTTATAGCCAATGGCTCTCTAAGGAAGGGGAAAGAAAGACTACCATTTGGTATTATTTATAATTTTATTTTCTATTAGACATTATAGCAGAAGTTTAAGAACATCATCTTTTTATCTTTGGACCATTTTATTCTTTTCAAGTTGAGTGATAATATCCCCACCCTATAGAGAAAGAAACTGAGACCAAGAGAGATTAAATGTTGCAAAGTCACACAATCAGATGACAGGGAGGCTGTCTGAGCCCAGCTCCCGTGTACTCAAAATCTATCCATTAACTTCTGCTTCAATTCCTCTTCATATTTCATTCTACACAAGCACCAGTGAATTAAGAGACACAAGGAGAATCTAACCTTCAACAACAAATAAAAACACTTGAATCTTATTTGTCAACTGTGTGGTTGAGACTGTAATGAGACTTCTAATAGGGGATATTACTATAAGAAACAAGTTACAAGCACATGTGCCATGTAGGCGAGACTAACGGTAAGCACTAACAATGTTGTAGTTTTTTTTCTTTTTTAATTGGAGTGTAATTCCTTTACAATGTTGTGTTTGTGTTATTTTTTGCTGCAAATTGGGTCACTTTTAGAGATGTGGATTTGTAGAGTCTGTCATGCAGTGTGAAGTATAAGTCAGAAAGAGAAAACAAAATATTGCATATTAATGTGTATATGTGGAATCTAGAAAAATGGTATGAATGAGCCTAAGTGCTGTAATTTTAAGAGTTATTGTCTCACGGGCCTCTAATTGCTACCTTTCTCAGTGGAAATTTGCCAGTTAGATTTCCTAGCATCTTATTTCTTCTTAAGTTTAGAGAATTTGCCATCTTATTAATGTTGTAGAAGGCAACTGTCTCTCACCATAGAAGCTGTGAAAAGTAGATACTATGCTGCCAGTTTTCCTTGTAGCTAGTGCTTGAAAACTAGACTAGGGCTTCGATATTGGTACATCCTGACATAATTTATTTTTTCCAGCTTTACTGAGATATAATTGATATAATATTTTTTAAGTTTAAGGTATACAATGTGATGATTTGAAACATGCAAATAATGTGAAATGATTACCATAATTAGGTTAGTTAATACTTCCATCATCTCACATAACTACTTTTAAGTGTGGTGAGAACATTTAAGATCTACTCTCTTAGCAACTTTCAAGTATATAAAGCAGTATTAACCATAGTCTCCATGTTTTACATTAGATCCCCAGAACTTATTTATGCTATAACTAACTGGAAGTTTTGCACCCTTTAACCAGTTACTGTTTTGTCCCCCACCCCCCACCCCACCACCAGCCCTGACAACAACCATTCTCCTCTGTTTCTAGGAGTTCAGCTTTTTTTAGATTCCATGTGAAATTGAAATCATATAATCAATTTCTATCTGGCTTTTTTCACCTAGCATAATGCCCTAAAGATCCATCCGTTTTGTCACAAATGGCAGTATTTCCTTCTTTCTCATGCCTGAATAAAATGATATATAATAATACTAAATCTATAGCTAGTTAGCTAGCTAACTATATTACATCTTCTTTACCAATTCACTCATAGGGGGATGCTTACATTGTTTCTTATCTTATTTGAATACACTGCAATGAACATGGGGGAACATATATTTTTTCGAGATTCCAGTTGTATTTTTCTGAGATATATACCTAGAAATGCAAATATTGAATTGTATGGAAATTCTATTTTAAATTTTCTGAGAAGTCTCCATACTATTTTCTGTAGTGGCTTCAGCAATTTACATTCCCACCAAAAATGCACTCTCGCTAGCATTTAGCTCTTGTCTTATTAATGAGTCATTCTAACAGATGTGAAGTATCTCCTCTGTTTCTAGGAGTTCAGCTTTTTTTAGATTCCATGTGAAATTGAAATCATATAATCAATTTCTATCTGGCTTTTTTCACCTAGCATAAAGCCCTAAAGATCCATCCATTTTGTCACAAATGGCAGTATTTCCTTCTTTCTCATGCCTGAATAAAATGATATATAATAATACTAAATCTATAGCTAGCTAGCTAGCTAACTATATTACATCTTCTTTACCAATTCACTCATAGGGGGATGCTTACGTTGTTTCTTATCTTATTGTGAATACACTGCAATGAACATGGGGGAACATATATCTTTTCGAGATTCCAGTTGTATTTTTCTGAGATATATACCTAGAAATGCAAATATTGAATTGTATGGAAATTCTATTTTTAATTTTCTGAGAAGTCTCCATACTATTTTCCATAGTGGCTTCAGCAATTTACATTCCCACCAAAAATGCACTCTCGCTAGCATTTAGCTCTTGTC